GAGCCACCGTAAAACGCCTCCACCAGCAGAATCGTGGGCGACTGACAGCTCTGACAAAGACAGGACAGACATGCATTATTGATCGTACTGATCACATTGAAAAGGTCAACGTGACTGAGGGGGATGTTTCTTTCCATAAATTTACCCCGTTTTTAAGAGTAGGTGTTTGTAAGTGTTGATTTTGTCACTTACTACAACACAGTGTTATTCTGATTGGGTTACAGCCTATTTGCTACTGAGAGAAATTAGTGTAAATATGGGAAAAACTCAAATACAAATATTTGCTGGTTTTCTTTGTCTTCTATGGCAGACAGGTGACTACATCCACAAAAAGGAGAATAACCTAAAAAGTCAAGGAACAGTGCATCAAGGCACAAGTTTACAAAAAACTCACCTCGATCACATACAAATCTCAGATAAAATTAGAAATTTTAAAATGCTGCAAAAACTGTTTCCTGACATTTATGGATCAATCTTTTAAGAAAATGCCAGGTAGACAAACTACAAATGAAAATATTTGTTGCAGCAAGAAAACATCTATTTAACATATTAATATTTAAATGTGTTCACGTCTTTGTTAGCATTAGTGTGCAATGCTGAACTCGAGATGAACATGAAAACATAGAGCTCTGGTCTCTGCTCAGATACCACCCATCTCTACAAATGATCTGTGGGTTGAAACATATTACCCACAGATGTTCACAGTGCGATCAGTTTTTAAAACTACCAATTAGACAAACAAAGCTGTACAATTAAATAGTACATCTGGATGAAAAATGTGCCACACAGAGTTAAGTTTTTGAACGTGACCTGTCCAGCTGTCTGTTAGCATTTTACAGCTCTAACCAGCGATTGAAAAGATGTCAGAGTCCACTGTGCTTTGTAACAATAGCATGAAGGGAAAGTCTGATGGGAAAAGGAAATAATTCACTTTGCCCTGGCAGACTATTTCCATGTGAACACAGCTGTGGTCAACACAACTAGGCTATAGCCTACTGTCCTCTGTGCACATGTGCTCCCCAGCACAAAGGTCTGAACGCTTCTCAAAGCCTTGTCCATCCTGTCAGGAACCACATGGCTGTGTAAACCACTCCTTCCTTAGCTGTGCTTTTATTTTCTGTTGCTCCAAGTGGTCAGATGCAAGTACACCCAGTCTGACACTCTGAGCTGAAGCTACTAAAATGTCACAAACATTTTTATAAGCAAAACGCTCAACATTTATTGTTTTCAGCCTCCGTCTTCATCTTCTGTGATACTAAAGCAAACATCTTGGAGTTTCAACTTTGCTGCTGACAGATCACACAACCGCCGTTTCTGCAATATTTTGACTTTGCTCATTTCCACTCAGGACTTTAAGCATCAAGCCATGGTGCGATCAATATTTATCATTAAATGAGAGCTCTGATTAGAGAATAAACTGAGTGTGAACACATGCTTTCCTACGACTTTTTATGGTCTCCGTCTCATTTTCCTTAATATTTAGCACTCTGTAACTTCACACACATTGTCACACAGTCTCTAGTGAAAAGGAGGCCGCTCACCTCAGTGGGACAGACCTGGCTGAATAAGTTATTTGAGCCAGTGACCTTAGCTATGACTTACTGTGATGCTTGCCATTTTCTGACATTTCATGGACTACAGCAGTGGTTAAATCAACTGGTAAAAGTGGAAATCATCATGAAACTAACATTGGTGCAGGGCGGTGGGTGAAGCCCTCCCACAGTACCTCAGTGTGTTCAGCCAGGACCCTGCTGATGACTCCGTTTATTCAAATGTAAAACACGCAGCAGCCTGACGGAGGCGATGTGGTCCTGATCCATGAGCTGATCTTGCTAAACATTTCAGGCAGTAAATAAAAACTATTGTTGGCAGAAAGTTAACTTTGCAGTAATAAACCACAGTAAAGCAGTAATATCCATCTATTTGCAGCACAATGCATCCTGATAGAGAAACCCATTATGATGCAAGGAGGTTTACACAGCCTGCAGCAGGAAGTGGACGACTAACAGTCCCCAAGCATTGTCCAGCCACTGAATTCCCTCCCAGAGATTTCCAGTCCGGTCTCCACTTAGCTGCCCACAATAGGAGCTAATGTGGCAGCAGCAGCACTCAGCACTCGCCCACAGACTACTCAGTCAATATCTGCTCCCTGCAGCTCGGTAATATGCACTCATATCTGGAGAAGGAAATGAGCTGTGCAATCAGCTCTCTCTTTTCTGTTTCAACACAGCTTCGATGCAAATGTGTCAAAACTAAAAATCTGATTGAAACAGCAGCACAATGTCACCCATTGTGCTAAAACGGCCCAATCTGCTTCATGAATGCTTCACAATAGCGTGAAATATGAAAAAGTGAATATGTCAGAGGGGCAGAAGGATGGAGATGGTTTGATTAACTTGTCGGTGTCTGACCCTGTTGACCTCTAAAATAAAAACTGCCAGCTGGTTTCAGGTTCAGGCCTCCATGTGGACGAGATCAGTTAATTTTAGTCCTTATTGAACTCTTTCAGCTCTGCAGATGTTTATAAAAAAAAAGTCCTGTATTTAATGAGGAACAAAATTAAAAACCAAGTATCATGCCAAGTCAGTAAAAAAATTCTCATCTTCTGGCTTGTCATGATACTTGTTTGGAGATTAATCCAAAAAGCTTAAATATAAAATAATTCAACTTGGCAAATGAAAGATTACAATAATAACTGAACAAGAGAAAAACTTAAGTCATCAAGTACAACAATAAAAAAAGACCTGGAACAATAAAAGTTACTAAATGAAATTGTCAGCATCAACTAAATTAAAGGATAAAACTACAAAAATGGAAGTCTGAAGTGGAATAACAAGCTAATGACTCCCACGTTCAGTCCGACTGTCCTGCGCCTGATGGTGTGACAGGAAGTTTGCTAGTAAATGTGAAATTGATCAAGTAAAGCAGAGAGAACACATCATTCCACCTTAAACTGAGAGTCCCTGTAAACCACGCTGGGGGATTCCAGCCTCGCAGACTCATCTCACCTAGACACCTTTCCTCGCCCACTGGAAGGTTGCTGACACGCATGAAACAAAGGGTTAATGTCATCGATTTCCCCCTGCCAGGGAATCCCCCAGCAAGCCGAGCGATGAAGGGTTAATACGGCTGAGTCAGCGGCCGAGTGAGGCTGGAAACTCGAGTCAGTGGAAGCATGTAGGAAATGTTTTTCTGTTTTTTCGCGACTGAGACTGTAGGCGCTACAGGAATTCACTGCTGCATCCTATGTGCTGCACTGAAGGCCCCGATCCATACATTCACTGTGCTTATACAAATTTCAATTGAATTTGGGAAGAAGAGAAGTATAGAGATAAGAAAACAGGAACAGCAATTACTACAAGACATTGATTGTTGTAGGGCATCACCCATGTTGGAATCAGATAAAATTAAATTCATGAACCTTCAATCAAAACTGGATGAGATGTATGTGAGAAAGGCTGGTGGAGCATATGTAAGATCCAGAGCCAAATGGCAAGAAAAGGGAGAGAAAAATACAGCTTATTTTGTAGCTTGGAAAAAAGAAGACAAGAACAAAATGCAATTAATGTGCTTATGATAAATGATGTTGAATGTTCAGAATTTAAACATCTGATAAAGTTCACAAATTTTATAAAGAACTATATTATTCATCCTTTTCTAAAGAAGAAGCGAATTCCATATTTCAAAATAATAAACATTTTATTCCCATAATAACCACTGATTTCAAAGATCTTTGTGACTCTGAATTTCAGTTATATGAATTAGATATGGCACTCAAAAAACTCTCTTTAGGGAAAGCTCCAGGACAGGATGGCCTTTCATCAAACTTCTATAAATTCTTTTGGGAAGAAAAAATATTTAGAAAACGTAAGGCCTATTACATTACTTAACGCGGACTACAAACTTTTTGCTCACATCATTGCAAATCAATTAAAAGAAGGTATTACACAAATTATCAGCGAAACACAGTCGGGCTTCATAAAAGGTCGCTCCATCCATAACAACATAGGGTTGGCGTTAGATTTATTGGATTATAGCGACCGAATCGAGGATGATGGTTTTATCTTATTCTTAGATTTCTGCAAGGCATTTGATAGTATTGACCACCAGTTTATTTTGGACACTTTAAAATATTTTGGTTTTGGAGACGGATTCAGAGAGATTATTTGTATATTCTATAATGACATAAATAGTTCTGTATTATTACCATTTGGTACATGTAATAGATTTGAGGTGAAGAGGGGTATCCGACAAGGGTGTCCAGTTTCCCCTTTACTTTTTATTGTGGCTGCTGAAATATTAGCCATTATGATAAAGAATTGTAAAGAAATTAATCAGCTAAATGTAATGGGATGTCCATTAGTTATAAGTCAACTTGCGGATGATACAACTTTATTTCTTAAAAATGCAGCTCAGATAACAAAAGCTCTCAACGTCATTTCTTCATTCTCACAGGCATCAGGTCTTTATTTAAATTTAAGTAAATGTGAGTTGTTGGCAATCCATGACAATCCTTTAACTCATATTGAAGGAATACCAATCAAAAAAGAAGTTAAATACTTGGGTATTACTGTGTCTAAGGAGCCAGAAGTCAGAGTGAAAGCTAACTTTGAAGAAATTTTTAAAAAAAGTAAATCTATTCTAAATATATGGTTACAAAGGGACCTATCCATATTTGGAAGGGTCCTCCTAGCAAAAATGGAAAATCTCTCTAGAATAATTTATCCAGCATATTCCCTACATATACCTGATAATATAATCAAAATCTTTAATCAAAACAACTTTAACTTCATTTGGAAGAACAAGCATCATTATATAGGAAGAATGATGTTATTAAATCACTGGAAGATGGCGGTCTGAATGCTATTGACTTTGACCCTA